TTGGTAGCCCAGGCTGGCCTCGAACTCACAGAGATCCTCCTGGCTCTGCCTCCCGAGTGCTGGGATTAAAGGCGTGCGCCACCACCGCCCGGCTGTTGTTGTTTTTGAGACAGGGTTTCGCGGTGTAGCCCTGGCTATCCTGCCTGCCTCTGCCTCCCAAGTGCTGAGATTAAAGTGTGTGTCACCACCATCTGGCCATAGAAGATGTCTTTTAAAACACATTTCTTTCGTGGATGTATGTGTGGGCCCCACAATGCACATGTGGAGGTCAGAGGACAGCTTGCAGGACTTGGTTCTCTCCTACCACTGGAGTGTCAGGGATTAAACTCAGGTTCTCAAACCTGGTGACAGGAAGTCTCTCCCTGAGCCAGCCCGTGGTCCAAGTAGTCATTTTATAATACCAAAATATTTAGACTAAGGAGCATAGATTAATTACGGACTGTAAGACAAATTGCTAAATGGTCTTATTAATAAAAACCTGGAGCCAGATATTGGGGTGCACAAATAAAATATCACCACAACGGACTAATCAATTACTAGGTAAAGCAAGGTCTCCAGAAATGGCTCAGTGGTTAAGAGCACTGGCTGCATTCCCAGAGGACCTGGGTTCAATTCCCAGCACCCACATGGCAGCTCACAACTGTCTGTAACTCCAGTTCTAGGGGATCCAACACCCTCACATGGACATACATGAAGGCAAAACACCAATGAACATAAAATAAAAATAAATTTTGAAAAAGTTTAATGCAAGACTTTTTGACCTGAGCAAAAGCAAAATACCTATCTATCAATAACTATTGTGAGTACCTGGTGCCCATGGAGGCCAGAAGAGGTGGTGGATCCCCTGGAACTGGAGTTACAGATGGTTGTGAGCTACTATGTATGTGGCTGCTGGGAACTGAAGCTGGGTCCTGTGGAAGAGCAGCCAGTGCTCTTAACCACTGAGCCATCTCTCCAGCCCCAACAATTTCTTTCTTTAAGACCACAATCAACCTCTTAACATTTTTTAATTAAAAAATAATATAAATCTGGGCATAGTGGCTGATCTCTGTAGTGGTAGATCTCTGTGAGTTCAGGGCCAGCCTTGTCTACATAGTGAGTTACAGGCCAGCCAGGGGTACACAGTGAGACCCTGCCTCAAAAAAAAAAAAAAAAAGAAAAAGAAAAAAAAAGAAAACTGGGATAAATAAGCAACAGTAAACAGAACATAGTGTTGTTTTTTAAAGTGAAAGATTTAAATGGAAATATTAGCTGAGCTTCAACAATATTAAGATAATTTTTAAATGTCTTTCAGGATTCTATCCGTGCAGTCTTGGCAAACATGGACAACCTGCAGCCCTTTGTTACAGAACACTTCATTGTATTTCCCTGTATCCTTTCTTTCCTGGTTTTATTTTCCCCAGAAAAGTGAAGTTTGGTGTTTAAGATAGGCCTATCTCATGTGGCCCAGGCTGGCCTTGCAATCACCATGTAAGCGCCTGGTCCAACCTCCACCTCCCAAGTGCTAGCTTCCAAGTGGAGCCCTCTCTAAAGCACCATGCCTGACAGCTGGACTTTTGAGGTAATTAGCCATGGCTGCCTGCCACTCTGGATGATGTCAAGGGTAGCATGGAAGTTACAGTAATCCTCTTGCCTCAGCTCCTGGGTGCTGTGATTGTAGGCATGCAACAGAACATCTTGCATACAGAACATAGTGGCTTTTACTAGCTGCTAATGAGCTACAAGTCACACTCCAGATTCCAGTGGAATCAGTGAGACCAAAAGCAGTTTGAAGGGTAGGTAGAGAAAGGAAGCTAGAGTCTCAGCCTTCAAATAGTTTCCAGGAATGCAAGCTGCTCTCCCTCCTCATTTCCTTAGCACCATCCTCAGATAAAAGCAAGTGGGAGAGAGTTTCCCACCTAAAATTTAAACAGGGAGAGATCATCTTGACTCCATACCCATTTGTTTTCACTCTGTATGTAGAAATGAAATGGTTTACTGGAAATCTGCCTTCAGGTCAGTAGAATGATGAGAATGGGGGCGGTAGAACAGGAAACAGGCAGGAGTATGAACTGAGTACCAGGTGGCTGTCTACCCAACTGGGTTCTGACTGCATAGGACAGAGCTCTGGAGCAGTTCCTCTGAGCTTGACTCACAATACCCTGTGGCTTAGGCATTATGATAACTTATTTAATCTCCCTTTGTGAAATAGTGAAGAGACACTAATTTCAGGGGTTGTATGTATAAGTATTGGTGGGTTGGAAGACATAGTCTGTCTGGAGAGTAATTACTCAGTGAAAGAGCCTCTGCAAACACTTTGTTTTTGTTTGTGAGATAGGATCTCACTATATAGCCCTGGCTGTCCTGGTGCTCACTATATAGACTAGGCTGGCCTCAAACTCACAGTGATCCACCTGCTTCTGCCTCCTGAGTATGGGGATTAAAAGCCATGCTGGGCTTTCTCTGATATCTTAACACTATCTTCCAGTTATTAATCTCCAAAGGATGTGGTTATTTTTACTAAAACACAAATAAATACCTGCTGGTTTGATTTGAAAAGTACAAAAGAAGGCTGGAGAGATGGTCCAGGGGGTGATGATGTTTGCTGTGTAAGCACAGGGCCTGATTTTCACTCCCCATTGCCCATGGCCACATGTACCTGTAACCCCGGCGTTGGCGGCATTGGTAGAGACGGGCAGATCCTGGAAGCTCACTGCTGGCCAGCCTAGCTGAAATGTTGAGTTTCTGATTCAGTGAGAGATACTGCCTCAAGGGATTAGATGGAAAACAACTGAGGATACCCACGGCATGTAGTAAGATACATCCTCTTTTGAAGGGCGTACTGATAAGTATAGCGAGAGTCAACTCCACTGCAGCTTAGAGGTGACAGTTGTTCTGGAGCAGGGTAGGACAGAAGCTCAAAGACATTAGGTAGGGAAAGTGGAATTGGGCAGAAGAGGAAAGGGCCCAAACAGAAGTTGTTTGTCAATCCAGTTCCCAGAACTAAAGTTCAGAAACCCAGGTAAGACAGTCTCAACCCATTATGTTGTTCAAATCTCCCATTGTAGGGAAACCAACAGATGATAGTCCTCTTGAGTTGGTAAGTTTGTTCTTTCTTTCTTTGGGGGTTTTGTTTGTTTTTGTTTTTCAAGATAAGTTCTCTATGTAACAGCTCTAGCTGTCCTGGAACTCACTGTAAACTCAGAGATCCACCTGCCTCTGCCTCCTGAGTGCTGGAATTATTTTATTATTTTATTTTTTGGTTTTTCGAGACAGGGTTTCTCTATGTAGCTTTGCACCTTTCCTGGAACTCGCTTTAGAGACCAGGCTGGCCTCGAACTCACAAAGATCCGCCTGCCTCTGCCTCCCGAGTGCTGGAATTAAAGTCATGCTTCGCCACGCCCAGCACGTTTGATTTTTCTATATAAAATGAAAGTTGTCTTTCTTGCCTCAAAAGTGCTACTCTGGTCTTTTCTGCCTTTGCCTCTCAGTCACTGCTCAGGTCCCATCTCAACTGTAAGTAGGAGACCGTGTGTCTCCCCTCGTCTAGATTTCAGAGGCGATGTCTCTGCCAGAATATCTTGCTGAAGTGGAGGTATTACAAGTTGTCTTTGGTAGGCAGTCCTCTGTGCTGGGCCCTCCTAAACTGTGAGCCACTCTGGAAAAGGTGGGTTCCCAGGAGTCCGGTTTCCTCCCTGCAGGTCCTAGTTGAGAAGAAAGCAGAAGAAGCCACGGTGCGGAAACGAAGACTCATGGAGGAGCCCAGCTCCCCTAGCAGGCCAGGACCACACAAGTCAGTGGTGGAGAGAGGTTTTGCCCTTGGGCAGTTCTTCATTTGGAGGTTCTTCAGTACCTTGCTCACCCCAGGGGTAAACTGAGGAAAGGGAATAAGTTGAAATTTTCTTTGTAATTTGAACAGTCTCTCAGCAAAGTAAGATTGTTCTGTTCATCAAAAATGGAGGCTGAACTGGAGTGTAGCTAGGTAGAGTGCTCTCCTAATAAGTGTGAAGCCCTAGCATCAAAAAAGAAGGCGGGCGTGGGGTGGGGGGTGGCGCACCCCTTTAATCCCAGCACTCAGGGGGCAGGGGCAGGTGGACCTCGAGGAGGAGGAGGAGGAGGAGGAGGAGGGGAAAAACATAAAGGCTAAGAGGAAACACAGATCTATAGCTCTGAGCTCAGCATAGTCAATGAATACATATGGTATTATATTGTAGAAGGCACAAAACTTAGGAAGTCTCAGAATATTATACAAAGACAGAAGGACGCTGAAGAGATAGTGTGGTTGGTCAAGTGTTTGCCATGCAAGCATGAGGGCCTGACTGTAACCCCCAGAACCCATGGGGGCTGCCAGGCGTGGTGGCCCAGGCTTATAACTGTGGTGCTGGAGAGATGTGGGCAAGTGGCTGGCCAACCCAGCCTACTTGGCGAGCTCCAGGCTCGTAAGGGACTCTGTCTCAAACAGAAGAGTGAACAGTGCTCGGGACACAGCACTGGAGGTTGTCTTTTCCCCCCACACAGGTGTACATGAGTGCATCCACACCCCTTATACATACGTGAACATGCAGATTAAAAAAAACTTTGAAAGAATGAGAACAAATAACATAGAACTCTGTTTCATCCCATGAGCAATTGGGTAAAATGTAAATGTGTGCAAGATATTGTACATGTGGTGGTACACATTTGTAAATTCAGCCTTCAGGAGCAAAGGCAGGAGAATCACCCACTGCAAGAGGCCAGCCAGGTATACTAGTGAGACCTTGTCTTCTTAAAAGACAATGTAGTGCGCATGAATTGTTAGAGGGAATGCTGAGCATATCCCAACATGTTGAAGTTCCTGTTGTAGAGGCTACGTGTGTCCTTTTGATTCTCTGTCACAGGAAGAATTAGTCAATGAGACAATTTAGTCATTCTTGAGCATCCCAGAGAGGCTACCTGGAATAATCCAAGTCGTGGTTTGCTTCTCAGCCCAAGGTGCTTTTATGCCAAGGTCTCCTAGGACTTGAGGGCCCCTTAGACATATAAGCAGTGAAGACAGACTATGAAGGGGCTGACCCTGTGATTTCTGGGTAAATGTGTCAGTGACAAGCCATATGGAATGTGGGCATATTTGAGGTATAAGACTCAGTTTGATTTTATTTAACTGATTTTCCCACAGAGATGAGGTCCCAAATCTCCCCTGGGTTTTGAAGCACAACTGAACATCTCATAGTCCAATACCTCTGTCAGTCACATTTTGTTTCTCAAGCATACCCTTAAATGTCTCCAGTTGGATTTTATTGTGAATTAAAACCACCAAAGAAATTTTTGCCACATAATTTTCCCTGCCAGCCAGGAGTAGTATAAAAATAGCCAGCTTGCTGAAATATTCATTTGGACTACATTTGCTTGAATGTGGTAATGTTGCCATAGCCAATGACATTTCCCGGGCTCCCCCCCCCTCCCTTTCAGGGCCAAGATAGAGACTTCTAGTGAAGCCTTAAGCAATCAGAAGCCCCAGAAGGAAACCAAGAGGGTAAGCATCAAGATGGAAGCTTTGAGGCTCTTGCTGGCTCCTTCTTTGTTAAAGGCCGGGGTTCCTGTTACATGCTCAGCTTGGTCCTTGCTACAGATTGAATTGACTGAACTCATTCTTGGGTTTCATTCTTTGTAGAGTGACATCCAACTATTCTGTGCTTGTCACAGTCTATCCCTAAAGTGGTTGTATGGATCTTTTTTTTTCATGTTGAGAGTCTTCTCAACTTAAAAGCTGCTTGTGTTCTGTAATTTAAAATATGCCTGTATTGAATGGGTATGAAATCCAATGTAGAATCCTCACTGTAGAGAATGTTTGCTTTAGTCTGCATTGGAGTCTGAGTCTGGGTGTGCCTAGTTTTAGCAGATGAGGTGGGCATGCGGCAGCCCCAGAAGCTGGTAAGGAGCAGTAAGTAGCACATGCTGTAACTCCAGCCCTTGGGCCACGGCAGTGAGATGGCTGCAAGTTTGAGGCCAGCCTGACTACACTGTAAGTTTCAGGTCAGACAGGTCTGTGGAGTGAGACATTGTCCGAAAAGACTAGACAAGGAAGAAATAATGTAGGAGCTGGCGTGAGGAGGAGTGCTGCGAAGTGATGCCTTCCAGGCATGACTAGTCAGTCAGCCGTTCATAAGCTCACAGCAGCAGTGCTTACCTGAATAAAAGCTGTACAAGATCTAGCCAGTCATCTCCCTCCGTGGATTGGGAAGGGCACATGAAGCTCCACCCCAGCTGAGGTGCTGGCAGTTCATGAACTGCTGGGGGAGGACAATCATTTTATCCAGGAGTGTAGCCACTGTAAGCTGCCCATGATCCCGCAAATAACCCTACACCTGTAGACACGCAAGAAGCCTGGTTAGGTTGTGGGTTCCAAGGAGAGAGCCATGGCAGCAGCGGGGCAGGGGAGATATGCTGGGAAGAAGGGCTGCGGAGTGAGGGAGAAGGGAGGAGAGTGGAGTGGGGAGTAAGGGTGACCTAAATACTTTACATGCATGGGACTGTGAAAGGATACATTTTAAATTGTTTTACAAAAAATGGAGGAAGCTGGACATGCCTTCAATCTCAGCACTTAGGAGTCAGCGGCAGGATCTGAATTCTCTTGAGTTCACGGTCCTCCTGGTCTACACAGAGAGTTCCAGGCCAGACCCAGTCTTTAAAGAAATAAACAAAGGGGTTGAGAGATGCTCAGCCCTTCGGAGCACTTGCTGCTCTTGCAGAAGACCTGAATTCAGTTCCAATATCCATGTTGGACAGCTCACAACTGCCTGGAACTCTAGCTCCAGGAGATCCAACACCATCTTCTGGCCTCTGTGGGCACCTTCACTCTGTACACACACATGTAAGAAATACATTTTTAACTAAAAAACCAAATCAAAGAGCCAGTGAGATGGCTCGTTTGGCAAAGGCCCCTGCTCCAAGTCTGATGACTGGACTTCTATCCCGAGGACGCACATGGAGGAAGGAAGAACTGACTCGCACAAGGTGCTCCGACTTCTGTGTCCCTGACATGACACAAGCACACCCTCACATGTCTACATCAATAAAAATCGTAAAGATAGTTAAGCCAGGGCATGATTGCTAATGCCTTTAATTCTAGCACTGGTGAAACAGAGGCAGGCAGGTCACTATGAGTTCAAGGCCAGTCAGGGCTACATACACTCTGCTCCTACTCCTCCCCCAAAATAAAGTAATTAAAAGGGCTGGAGAGATGGGCCAGGGTTAAGATCACATACTGCTCTTTATAGATCCCGAGTTCAATTCCCAGCATTCACGTCAGGCATCTCCCAACTGCCTGTAACTCCAGCTCCCAAGGGATCTTTCCTACCCACAGAGGTCTCTGTCTTCTGTGGGTACTTCACTCACATGTTCATGTTCACACACATGTAATTTAAAATAAAATAAATACATAAAAATGTAAAAACAACAATTTTTTTTTTAAAAAGAGCAAAGGGAAGTACAGCACTCAGGAGGTAGAGGCAGGAGGATCTCTGTGAGTTCAAGGACAGGCTGGTCTACAGAGTGAGTTCCAGGACAGCCAGGGCTACAGAGAAACAAAGAAAGAAACAAAGGAGCAAAGCCTCTAGAACAGCGACGGCTGTCCCAGTCATTTTGGTTTTGTTTGTTCTCGAGACAGGGTTTCTCTGTAGCTTTGACTGTCCTGGAACTCACAGAGATCCGCCCGCCTCTGCCTCCTGAGTGCTGGGACTAAAGGTGTGCGCCACCACCCACCTGTCCCACTGATTTTATTTGCTTTGATTTTTATTGATTTGGGGGTCTGTTCCTTTGTTTAGATGTTCATATGTTGGCTACTCCTCCATTTTAAGGCTCCTTTCCAATAGCTGTCTTCAAAGTTGCACATTTTTTCCCTCTAATAGTTACCTCCTTCCCCTTCCCAGGCCCACAGCATGATCAATTAAGGAGCAAAGAACTGCCATATGCATTCATGCAAGACACCATCCTGTGTCTACTGTGTGCCAAGTACTTGGGCTGTCATGCTTCTAAAGCCCCCAGGAAGGTCAGGCCAGACAGCCACATATCTCTGTGCTGTGTGCAGGGAGCACTGTGTGCGGGGAGCACTGTGTGCGGGGAGTACTGTGTGCGGGGAGCACTGCTTGCCTAGTGAATACAAAGAGGTCATGAGGAAAGAGTTCCCTGGGGAAGCTGAGGCCCTTGAAGAGCCCAGGCCAAGAGGAAAAAGTATGATGCTTTTCATGCTGCAGGCCAGTGCACACAGAACTTAGGGCACAGCGCTGAGAAATGTTACTGGACAGACCAGCATGGCTGACAGTGATAGATAGGCCTTAAGTCCACCAAGATCACAGGAATTACCTAAAATATTTTTGAGTAAAGTAATGGAGCAATTTCATTTCTAGTCTACCATTTTATCACCTGTTGGCATATTGTGTGCCAGGACACCCAACACACACGTAAACCTGGCTGCTCGTTCTAGGAGTTTATCAGTTACTCGACTGTGCCCTTGGGATCTAGACTCCTGCCTCTGGGAACAGGGTTAGAAGATGGGGCCCCAATGTTGTGTCACAGCCCCACAGCCCACTGAGGTGTTAGGTGGAAAGCTGTCTGCTGTGTTCCCAGCCTTTGGAGAGGCAAGAAGAGAACTGAGAAAGTACAAGAGGGGTACATGAAGCTCTGGAGAACAAAGTGCTCTACACAAGCAAGATAATTGCTCTAAAGGAGCATTTCCCTCGCACTATCCTCCGTACCTTCCTATTCTTAGTTTGACACATCATCTCCCGCAAGAACAGTACCCACAGCTTCTTACTCAACATAATTACCTTTTCAACCTGATTCTGGGCTTAGAGAAAAGCTGAGCAAAAGGAGCATGTTTATTGATTTTGACTCAACGCCCAAAGACAGCCTCCATCACAGACTCTGTTCCCAGGGAGAGGATTTCTCCTAAATTAAGGTAATCACAGTGACTCTTAGTGCAAGCCACTTGAGCTGGAAAAATTGAATTTGCTCCTATGGTTCAGTGCTTGGCATCCCCCACCCCTTTGTGGGAAGTTTGGGTATAGGATCACATACAGCACAGAGAGGATTGTGCGTGTCTGAACACATTGAAAAGCTTTTGCACGGAACGCTTAGAAGAATACAATACTTGTCTCATGAGAGATGTCTGGGGAAGAATAAGGAAGGGAAGACCCTTTCTTTTTGTTCTCTCAGATCCCAGACCTGGAGACCCAGACTATGAAAAGATGAAAAGACAGGAGAGAGCAGATCAATGGCCCTGATGTGGACCAGACCGCTCAGTGTGTCCCCGTGTCTGCCCCACTTCTCAGCAGAACTGGCCCTTAGCTGTCACTGGCGTTCAAGGTGTGACACCCACTGGCTCTCTGCAGTGGCACCACAGTCTCAGCTGCTCTTTCCTTCCTTACAGCTTGTGCCTGTACACTGCCTTCAAGGGAAGCTATCCTTCTTATAAGAGGAATCTCCTTGTTTCTGGGATGGCCTTTTCCCTCTGATCCCTTATGCCCAGTCCTCATGACACTGCTGCCTTTGGTCATCTCTGCAGCAAGATTTAAGTCCAAAAATCATAGTTTCCTTAAATTTATAAGAATTATCCTTTCATGAATCTAGAGCTAGGCCTTCTAAATCCTTCCTCTCTGTCTAGGGGCAGGAGGAAAGGATGGTTTTCTTCCTCCTTGTAGCTCTCTCACACCTATGTGGGAATATGAGCCTGGCCTACCTACTGCAGACCTGAATCTCAAGGGTTTATGAGGAAGCTCATCTCAGAAAGATCTACTATTCTAACTTGAAAGTTGTGCTTAGACTGAGGGCCAGGGCTGACTCTCAGGACTTACTGCAACTCTGCCTCCCCGGTCACCCTGTACCAATTCTTCACCAGAAGCACAGCCTGAATAGCATACATGCTGCTGTGCAATCAGGCACTCGGGTTATGCTTGGTGAGGACAGGCCAGCTGGCAGATATTCCAAAGAAAATGTATGCCTATGTTTCTGAGCATCAGAATGTTTGCTAGAAATGTGGACATGGAACCAGGTTGTAGGATGTCCTCTTCAACATACAAAGGAGTTTCTACCAAGCAGTGACACATGGAGAGATACAAGATTGCACTGCATTATACTGGCTGTTCAGCTGTCATGTTTCCACCATGCCTGGCTCTAGCTATGCTGATTGTATTTGCTCAGTATGGCACTGTGCCCTTTTCATCATGTCTCTGCCCGGAAAGCCCTGCTCTCCCTGACCAGCTCCTCACCCCAATTATGACAAAATCCCATTCATCCGTCAAAGCTCCATCCACATGTCACTTTCCCTGTGAAGCCTTCCTTGACAACTGCCACCCACTTTGCAGCCATAACACTGCAGACTCGTGGGGCAGCCTCACCACACTGCCTTGTGGTGTAGCCTTGCCCTGTGGACTGAATGTGTTTCCAAAATGACATTTGTTCTTCAGGCTTTAGCACCAGCAGGTTCTCAGCAATAGGGGTGGAGAGGCATGCCCAGGTGGGCTTGTTCTGATCTCCTGCAGCAGCATATGGCTTTAGAGGGACTATGTTAGGAAGCTGGAGTGATCAGAATAGTCCTACAGAAGGACATAGAGGACTTGGCCTGGGCTGTCAGAAGCCAGTAGCACCCAGATTACAGGTCTTGTAGGATGAAGGATTTTATCCTTGGCCTTTTTTTTTTTTTTTTAAATTTAACAGAACAGAGAAGGAGAAGCCCAGCAAGAATATCAGGATACCCCAGCTTCTGATGCCACTGATGTTCAGGAACAGGGTAGGTTGGGGAGATTCTTGTTTGGTGGAAGGTTTTGTTCTTTGGGACAGGCTCTTGTGGTAGAGCCCAGGCTGGCCTCTAACTCTTGAGCCTCCTGTATGCCGAGATTATAGGCATGAGCCACCATGCCCAGCAGCCCCTTACTTCTGACAGTGAACTCAGTAGTCCAGCAATTCCAAAACATTTCCTAACGAAGTAGGAGGACTCAAAAGGAAGTTGGAAGGGATGTGGTTCCCTCTTCTGTGGGGTTGAAGAACTATTTCTGGGAAGCACTTTCTCCTCCTCCCCTGGGATCTCAGCTTTAAGGTTGACAGTACAGAGACTAGAGCTGGTGCCCAGCTGGTAAAGTATTCACCTCACTTGCATAAAACCCTGGGGACAGTCCCCAGCACCTCACAAAATCTGGCAAGGTGCACACCTGCAGTGATTCACTGCATATCGAGTTAGGGGCTAGCCTGGGCTGCATAAAACCTTGTCTCAAAAAACAAATAAGCCCAGCGGTGGTGGCGCACGCCTTTAATTCCAGCACTCAGGAGGCAGAGGCAGGCAGATCTCTGTGAGTTTGAAGTCAGCCTGGTCTCCAAAGTGAGTTCCAGGAAAGGCGCAAAGCTACACAGAGAAACCCTGTCTTGAAAAACCAAAAAAAATAAAAAAATAAAAAATAAATAAATAAATAAATAAATTGATGGTATAGACAGGTATTCTACAAGGCCTGTGAATGCCCAACGAGGCACGCCCTTCCAGCTTTCTGGTCTTTTACCCAGCACAAGGACTTGGAGTGGAATGCAGTTATCCAGATGCAGGATGTGAGCATGTGAATTACTGGACAAGTTGTGGTTCCTTGTAGAAACATGTCCGCTCTGGTAGATGGCTGAGGCTTGAGTTGTGTAAATATCTCAAGCCTGACTTTGAAAATACACCCAAGGACAGAATAGAATTTTACTGAGCTGAGATGAAACTGGAAAGGTCAGAGCAAACATTTCACCTGGCTCTAAATAATCCCTGGTGTGTGCCTGCCCTGTGATAGCTCAGATTCAAGGAGCCTGTGGGCCAGTCTCTTTCCCCTGCCCGAACGTTTTCCTTACAGATTCTAAGTCGGGGTGCAGCCTGCCAGAGCTAGCTGTCCCTCCACTGCAGCAGAGCAACCCACCAACACCCAAAGGGCCGGGAACCAGTGGCTTCTTTGGGTTTCTGAGGTAAGACAGAGTGTTTTGCCTTCAAGCTGAAAAGCAGTCTCTAGGTCCCTTGCTTCCTTGAGTCTTGGCAGGGCGAGAGCAGAGGAGAAGTAGATTCTTTACTGTGATTTCTCAGTTGTGTCAAAGATAGATGGTGGGAATTGATTGAAAACAGGGCCCTAATTAAAAAGACTGTGTGCGTGCTTGCTGGTTTGTTTGTTTGTTTGTTTGTTTTTTGAGACAAGGTCTCACTACATAACCCTGACCGGCCTGTAACTCACTGTGTAGACCATGCTGTCCTCCAACTCACAGAGATCCTCCTGCCTCTGCCTCCAGAGTGCTGAGATTAAAGATGTGCGCCATCACACCAGGTTCCTTCCTTTTGGGACAGGGTCTCACTTTGTAGCCCAGGCTTCTTTTGAGCTTGGGCTGCTCTGCTCTCTGCTTGTTTGTGTACAGTTCTTTCCACCTTGAGGTGCCCACACAAGCCTGTTTCACAAATGTTGCTTGAACAGAAACATCGGTCTTTCTTAGGTTATTCAGATGGTTTGAATCCAGAATGTTTCCACTCTCCCCTCTGAATCTAGGTGTGTGTTCAGAATCATTTTTGTAGAGAACACTGAGCACATGTGTCTACCTAGAGCTCAGCCATGCTACTGCAACTCTTTCCTTTTATTCCCCCTTCTGGGTGTAATCTAATCTGGGTGCCTTCTCAAATGCTGTTTTGGACCTGAATTTCCATTCAGTAGTTCCCCAGAGCAAAATGCCCCAGCTAATGAAGCACTAATGGGAGCCAGGGAGAAGGGAAGCGACCTCCTCAGTCTCAGACTCCTCTGCTCTCTTCCCTACAGCACTCTGCTTCCGTTCCGGTATTTCTTCAGGAAGAGCTGGCAGTAAGCCTGCTAGGCACCACAGCACGGTGGTGTCGGTCGGTCGGAAGGAGGACTTTCTCTTGCAGTGGCTCCTGAGCTATACCAAACATCATTTGCTTTAGTTTCTTCCTTTTTTTTTTTCTTTTGTTTATTTCTGAGACAAGCGTTACTGTTAAATCACCTAGGCTGGCTTCAGGTGCCCCATCTTCCTGTCTTGGGCTCCTGGTCTGCACCACCACACGCCATCCTTTTCTTGTAATTCCTCGGTTATGGGGAAGAGGGCACCAGACTGAATCTTCCTATGAGTTTATTCTATTGTTTGCTTTTGTTTTTTTCCTATTTAAAACACTAAGGATGGGCTGGAGAGACGGTGGTTAAGAGTGCATACTGCTATTGCCGAGGACCTGAGTTTGGTGCTCAGTGCCCACAACAAGCAATCCACAATGCCCTCTAAGTCCACTCCCATCAGAGCTGACCCCTCTTCTGGCCTCTGCAGGCACTTGCACACCCCTCCCCACTCCCAAAGCTAGAAAAACAAACCGGAACAACACTAAGGGACAGCAAGGTGGCTTGATGGTAAAGCACCTACAGCCAAACCTGATGACCTGAGTTCAGCCTCCATGTATGCACCATGGCTTGTACATTCATACAGAATAGATGTAGTTTTAATAAAAATTAAAACACTAAGGAAAGAATTCCACTGCCCCAAAGTTTAAGTCTTTTGTCTCTAGTGCTTAGGATTCTAATGCCAATAATTGTTCATGATGGATTATTGATTGAACTTGAAGAAGCAGAGCATGAGAGACCGGAGAAGCATTCACAGACCTTCTCCCTGGGTCACAGGTTGTTGCTTATTGAACCCCATGGACGTTCACCTGATCTCAGCTCTTACGGTTCTTTACCAGAGGTCAGGGAATAGGGTCACACAAGATTCGCTGGCCTGAGTCCCACTGCCCCTAAGAAACACTTCTTTATTTGGTTTGTCCCCAGAGGATAATGCCTCAAATGTAAAATGCTCCCCACCTGTTTCTCCCTCTGGTTCCTTCACAGTAACACAAAGTAGTCCATCAGTTAACTGGAAGCCTGTGCAAGTCAGGGCCCCTGGAGAAGGCAGGCCAAGGTACCCAAGTCCTTTCTTCAACGAAAGGGCCTTTTAGAGAACTATTAAGAGTGGACTTATGCGGCCTCAGAGAACCAAAAGAATAATGGATGGAAATTTAGGAGAACTCGTTTTAGCTCTGAACAAACGCATCCACGTTTTAACTTTTAGTGAAGTCTGATATTAGAGTGGACTACTTGTAGGTAAGGAGCCCTTGCCACTTCGGGTCTTTAAACTGCCTGTCACATGCCAGAGGGTTCTTAATGGGAAGCCTAGGGCTAGAATGCTAAGTCCCTCCTAGTTCCTTTGCTAGGCTGCCTCTACTTTTTTGTTTTTGTTCTATCTTTTTTTTTTCCTTTTATTTTATTTTACAATACCATTCAGTTCTACATATCAGCCACGGGTTCCTCTGTT